GTCATTCATACTTGATTTATAAATCTTGTATAACTTTTACCACATATTTTCCTTATTTCTTTCCCTTGGTCGAGTATTTCTAAGTTTTCCTAGCATGGATTATATTTTGATTCAAGCATTAATTCTTCCTCTAAACAATATTTCCATGAATTCTCATCATTTCATCATATGATAAATGTCATAATTATCATGTTTATCATGTTAAGATAATAAAGTTTGATCATTTCAAACAATGAAGATAGCATATAACATAAAAATATCACAAAATGCATAATTTACCTCAATTTCATAATCTGACAGTTTGCACTATTCTCAAAGAAATATTATTTTGTATTAATTTAGGCACTTAAAAATTATTTCGTTTGTACTATTAGAAACTAAACTCAAATAAGAACCTAACCATATAAGGAAATTCTTCTAGTTCAATTTATACAATTTATGGCGAATTTTCTAATCAAAGTTACAGAATCTGTTTTGAATAGAATATGTTGCTCAAATTTCTAGCCTTTTATCGGTTTAAAATTCATATTTTTTGTATACACTTCCAAGTCAATAGCCGCTTGTTTTAAATAAAACTACACTGATATATGAATCTAGCGGTATAAAAATCATCTTCTAATCATTCTTGCATAATTTATGGTGAATTTATAAACTTACTGTTTGAATTTTCCATATAAACAGATTTTGCTAATTTGCATTTATTAGCTTATTCATTAATTCTATCAGCTTATCAAATGAACACATACATAATTCAAGTTCCTATCATCTTTTCAATGCAATCTCAATCAATTCCCTAAGCCCTAACCTTTACCAAGGTCATTTTTAAACATTTTCAATTGATTTTAATCATTATTCAAGCTTAGAATCAACTCTATAATATTAACAACACAACAATCTATCCTTAAATCATTAACATTCAACTTGTTCATCATTCACTGTAACAATCAAACCAATGATTCAAGCATGGAAACAATGAAATATTACCACCAATTGATAGAGAATTTAATATATATCATTTTTCTATTTCATAGCATAATCCAAAAATTAAAGAAAAATGACTAAAATGAAGAAAATAAGAAAACTTACATTGCCTTCTTTCTTCTTTGTAGTTCAAGTATATATAGAGGAAGAAACAAGTTTTCTAGATATCTCCTATAAAATATCTTTTGTACACTTGTAAAAAATTTATTTAATTGAATATAAAATTCTTTTAATGCAAAATTACAATTTTATCCGTAAAAATCATGATAATTACCTAATTACCATGCTACTCGTCCGTATCATCTTCCTTTTATAATTTTCAAAGTAAAAAATGAACAAACTATTTCATACTTTCCCAATTTACCATTTTAATTTTCTAAAATTACAAACTAGTCACAAAAATTAATAATTTCAGTTTAACATGGAAAATTCATCTAAATTCGAGGGATTCATGTCAAAGCTAACATTATAAAATATAAAAGTAATATTTCTAACCTTTTTCCATCATCCTTCAATTTTCTTAATTTTTCGATTCGATCTGATTATTCAAATATTTTACCAGACTTTATCTCTTAGTAAATTTTTACAATATCTCCCGACTAAAATCTAAATTCCATATAATATCCATTCTTAAGGATGAATTATTCGTTTATGGAATAAAATTTCTTTTTAGAAAATTATCGCTTTGGTCCTTAAACTTTTCCCAAATGTCTACTTTAGCCACCAAACTTTCAAAACTTATATTTTAGTCACTAGTCAAATTTTAAGGTATTACAAGGACGACATCCCTCCCTTTTACAACTAAAATGGTGAGTTGTCAATATTTCTTCTCAATAATTTTAAGTTAAATTGACAACATTTAAGCATTTCAAACCAAGGGGAAACATCATCTAATATAAGGTAGAATGACAATTTTGTCCTTTTCAGAAAGAAATAAGAAATATCATCGTTATAATCGAACGTTTTATTTATTTACCAAAGGTTATGCAACAAACAAATATTTTGTTCATAAAAATTACCAAGCCTTTAAGATAGATATATTATATTCAAATACTTATAAATATTGAGACTAAACCACCGAATAGGGTCGAGTGGCTTATCCTCGTTAAATCGAAATATAGAAACATTTCTCTTTCTATCATCCTGATTAATTCTAGAGGGTCGTCATTTTAATTGTTTTCACTAGTGGATATTTATTTATTTTAAATTATCAGAATTGAACTGCCAGGTGGATTAGGACAACCCTTTTCAATAATTTACAATAAATAAATGTTTTCTTTTAATCCAATTATGAAAAGTGTCGAGTTATGCACGTAAGATTATCATGTTTTTCAATAAATAAAGATGTCATGCAATCAAACAATATGCTTCATAGAATATTAATGAAAAATTAGGGGAACAAACCAAATGATTAATTTAATTAATATGCTAAGGTTATAATGCAAAGTGTTAAGCATTAATATTAGAATATAGAGAGTTTGTTAAGCATTAATATTAACATAATATAGAGAGTTGCTAGAGCATTAATTTAAAAGGATCTAGAGAGTTCGTATTGTTTTATATATACGTGGTTTCCAAATAGGAAAAATGTGTGGCATTATGTAAATTTAAAAAACAATTATTATTTTCTCAACATGGTCTCAGAGCAATATTAGCGCTGATTGAGAGAGTATCAATCTCTTCAAACCCACGTTGTTGGATTTCGACATCAACAAGAACCAAAATAACTCCATTCAAAGAAAACTGCTCACAACTGGTAGTTATCACCGCAATGAACGACCGATATTCAGACATGAGACCATTCAAGATAGTAGCCACTTGCTCAAACTCAGAAAACGGACAACCACAAACGACGAGTGCATCACAGATTTTCTTAATATGAGAGATTTACTCTCTCATGCTCAGTTCACCGTTACGATGATCTTTAAGCGAAAGTGAAGGTTTATCATTGTCGTTGTTGACTTACTCGTAAAAAACTTAGTAATTGTATGCCAGACATGTGTCGTCGTATCAACCCCAACTAAATGAGGGAGAATTAACGGAGTTATCATGGTTAAAATCCACGAAGTCAAAGCACTATTTTGTGCCACAAAGAGTTCGTACGCCTCATTAGTAGTAATCGAACCATCCTCTAGAGTCACCGTTGGAGGCAACGGAGTAACTTCACCAGTGATAAGCTTCTCAAGGCGGTGGCTCCTCACAGCCAAAAGAACCTGATGTTTCCATAGTAAGTAATTACGCTATAATAAAACGACACTTAGACGCTTATTTGTGAACGTCTTTTGAAAGATTGTCACTAATTTGTCATCCTGATCATCTATGGAAAATAGAAACAATGAAGAATGATTAGAACAACGAGGAAAAAGAAGAAAACTCTGCAGGTTCCAAAGCTCTGATACCATGTTGAGAAAATAACAATTATTTTTTTTAAAATATACATAATGCCACACATTTTCCCATTTGTAAACCATGTATAAATAGGACAATACATACTCTTTAGATCCTTCTAAATAAATGCTCTAGCAACTTTCTATATTATGTTAATATTAATGATTAACAAATTTTCTATATTCTAATATTAATGTTTAACAAAAAAATTAACAGTGTAATGAAAAAAAATATTAAAACAACTATTTTAACAAAAAATTATTTTAACACTTAAAATTAACTTAAAAAGGGAAGAATTACACATGTAAAACGCTCACACCAATCTTGCTATCTTGCTTTACTTCCTTAACTTCGCTCGAAAGTCGAAAATTGGCTAGAAATCTCTTCATGAGGCCTCTCTCACTCACTCCAATCATATCTTTGTTGTTAACTTCAACAATAACATCGCAAACTCAATTCACGTCATGCCCGTGTTATTCACACACGCCACCCAATCTGATTTCACCTGTTGCCCATTGACTGCGTTCCTATCGTTCTCACCCTTCATCCGCCCCATGTCACTCGGCGACGCCACCGCAATGAAGCGAAACCTCAACCACTTCTGCTTCGACTACGCCATGATAATCGTAAACCCTATATTTTAGATTAACTACCCAACACTCCATTCTCCACAAATTCTATTTGAGGGAACCAAATTTCTTTTCCAATTGCCAATTTTCAATTCCTTATACATGATTAAGCAATGATGATGATGATTGAAGCAAATTAAAATTGAAAAAGTTCCTTGAAATCTGACAAAGTTACAAAATTGATTAAAATAATTGAAATTCGGTTGTTCTGATAAAGAAATTATTTTTCATATATACCCATATTAATAGGTACTGTTAAATATGTTTTTACAAAAATAAAATAAAATGGTATGTGTGTGTCCCAAATACTATTTCATTATCCAAATGTAATCCATATCCTAAATATGGTTTTTAAAAAGACTATCTTAGCACAAAAATATATATTTACTAGTTCATTTTCTTTTTATCATTTTATATTATTTTAACCATTTCGTTAAAAATATATTTAACAGTTCCTATTAAAATATACACTTGCTCCAGTCATGTCTGGGGATGATAATTGAGGAGGAGGAAAGTGGGTTCTCCTTAAACCGAATTTATGAAAAATGAGGCTTTGAGGCATCAGGGTTGAAGTTATAATCAAACATCGAAAGGAATTGTAACATAAAAACTAACAGTTCCTATTAAAATATAAATTATTCTCTCTTTCTTCTAATGTTTTCTATATTTATATTCAGAATTCAGAGTTCATGTCAAGCAGGGATCTAACACAAAAACTAACTGTTGTAATTGTAAACGGAGAAGTAGAGGGATGACATGATTCCAGGCATGTCAGTACAGTTAGGGTAGTTAAACCCCATTACTTGGCCGCAAACACTGCTCTATTTTTGTAGGCAACTCTCGCTCCACATATGCCTTCATACAATACATGCCGTGTATCAAATTGTCATACTCTATTGCGGGATGAAGATTCAAATAATGATAATATCTCTCTCTCTCTCTCTCTCTCTCTCTCTCTCTCTCTCTATATATATATATATATATATATATATATATATATATATATATGCGTTAAGATTATTGACATGGCAGCAAAAGAATCGAAAGAACCGAAAGAACGCATCGTTATTGACCCGAGACTTTCCGAGCATATGCCAACACCATTACAAATTCCTTTGCACTAGAACCAGCAGATGCTGCTACACGCTGTGATGTCGATGCTGTTTGTAGCCACAAATCCACTAAATTATACAACTGCAGCGTGGGAAGTACAGGTTGTCCCATGCATTTAATCTCAACCTGCCCAAAACAGGTATACATGCATATGAATATAGCAAGCCCATCGCGTTGGTCAAAGAGTATAGGCATTGGCGAACCAAAAAGAAAACTAAAAATAATTTTGGACAAATTTCTTCTTAGTGTGTATCATCAGAGAGCATTCAACTTCAAGGGGAGATCAACTCACCTCAGCTTCATCGGTGAGATCCAATTTCTTCATAAGGTACTTTTGAATAAAAGAAACAGGCACATTTCCATCCCTGCCACAAAAGAACAAATATAAACAAAATGATTATGGATGAGGGAATCAGGGGCAGCACTCAAGGGGCCCTAAAATGGTAAAATTGCATATTTTAGTCCCTTCAAAATTTATAACATTGTAAGCTAATAAATGGTAAAATTCCATTCTTTGTCCCTCAGATTTTTATAATTCAATCTAGGCCCCAGTATACATTTTCTGGCTTCACACTTGGATGGATCCATATCTAAAGTGACACTGACAGATAACTATTGTTAAGTTCAAAACTGACACATGGTCATGAATCCATATGGCTGATGCAAAATGCAAATTTTCCATGCTGTAGATCGACCGAAAGAGAACAAAAACAGGCAGGATTAAGCACCTTTTGTTGAAACAAGTTGTTAAATGGGATTTAGCTATAGCTAGTGACAAATGACCACAGTACTTTAAAAATGCTAAAAATAACATACTTAATTGGCAAAAGAAACAATTACACATTATTTTTATTGACCTTGCAATTCACAGCTCATTCAGCACATATACGTTCACCATGTCACTTTATTTCAGTTTTGAAATTTATATAGAGTAGTTATCAAGCATGACGACAAAAGATGTAGTCAGCTTGCAGTATTATCATAATTGCTTTAGGATCCGGGTATGGAATCTAATATGAAGTTGGTCGATGATAACTTCTCACTCCTTACAGTACAAGGATCATATAAGTAAATAAAAATCAGGATCAAAGTGCCCCTTTTAATTACATGATCTGCTTGATTCTAACTTGACTATTACGTACCTGATAACCAGAACTAATCTCTAGGCAACAATGTCTGGAAGGCATGCCCAGATGATTTGGGTTAAAGTAGAAAATGAGAGTAACTGTTGTCATAAAATGATTTCACGAAGTAAAAGAAACACAACTTTTTAAAGAGTACTTCAACGAAGGGGAAGGGGAGGGGGGTCGTAATAAGTGTGTAGACACTCATTTTCGTCCCATTTTTTTTATTTTTTCTATATATATATATATACAGTATATAGTTTGAAAACATTTTTAATATATATATAATATATAATTTTGAAAAGCATGTTTGAAAACATTTATATATTATATAGTTCTTAAGACATTTTGAAAATTAATATAATATATGGTTTTCAAAACATTTTTGAAAATATATATATTATATAGTTTTTAAAAACATTTTAAAAATTAATATAATATATAGTTTTTAAAATATTTTTGAAAATACATGTTATATAGTTTTTAAAACATTTTAAAAATATATATAGTTTTTAAAAAACATTTTGAAAACATAAATATATTATATAGTTTTTGAAATCATTTTGAAAACATATAATATATAGTTTTAAAAAACATTTTTTAAAAACTATATAATTTTGAAAACATTTTTAGAAAGTATATAATATATAATTTTAAAATATTTTTAAAAGTATATATTATATAAGTTTTGGGAAAATATTTTTTATATTATTATTATTTTTCCCCTTTTCTCTGTTTTATTATTATTAATTTCATTTTTTATTTTCGTTTTTAGGATCCAAACGAGGTCCAATCTGTCCAAATCCAAGGTCCAACATTGGGCCTGATCTAGCCCGGTTACGTTTAGGGTTTTCACAACCCTAACATCAACCTTGTCACAGCGCCGCATAGGAGGTTCTAGAAGCATGGAGCCAAGCAGTCAACGCCCAGCGCACATTCCGGTCGCACCAACGGGACTGAACCATCCTGAGATGGCCGGTACCATGAACTGGAGGATCGAAACAAGCAACAACCCACATCCCGTTATTTGCGGGAGCCAAACAACCAACACCGGGGCTATAAAAAGCCCCGGTGAGGCCAACGGAAGAAAAAAAAAAAGGAGAGCCAAAAACCCGAGACCACAATATCGGTCAACACAGTAGATCATCGATACAGAGAACCCAAACAGTACCAACAACGATACACCGACCATCGTTAGTAAACAACCAAGAACCATCAGGCCAACAGGCTACAAGAGCGGCCAACCACAGTTCCAACACCGTACCAGAACCACCATCGTACCACACATCAAACAAAAAACCAACAGAACCACAATAGCAAAACCGAACCACTATAGCCAACGAAAAACCAAATCGAAACATAAACCCAAAGGCCGGAGCCCCACAGCAAAGCAAAGTAAAAAAATCCAAGCAAAAACAGCAACACGGTCACCAGAAGTTGAAGAGACCGTCAGAAGAAGGTAAAAAGCCGAGCCTTGTTTGCTAGGTCTGCGCCGGGACGGCTCGAGTTTAACGTTTTGGGGTTCAGATTTAGAATCTCGGGGGGAAGGTGAGTGTCTCGGGATGTTTTGGTGCGGCGGCCGGAGAGGTGGCAGTGCGGTGGAGAGAGGTTACCGGGCGGTGGCCGGACCTTGGTCGAGTCTAGAGAGAAGGGAGAGAGATATCATCAGAGGAGAGAGAGAGAAATCTAGCAAATGAGGGGAGATGGGGTGAGAAAAGCCTTGCTTTAGCCTTAAATAGGCACACCAAAACTACGTCGTTTTGGCCCCTTAATTTGCCGTGTTCTGGAACAAAGGGGTGAAATCCTTTTTATGGTCCCTCCTACTTTGTATGCTTATTATTTAATCATCCAGGGACATTTTAAAGGTTCTGTTTTGGGCATTCTTTTTTCTTTCGTTTATGTTTTAGTCCTATATATATATATATATATATATATATATATATATATATATATATATATATATATATATATATATATATATATTTTCCGAATTTGAAGTAAGATTTGTGAAACTTCTATTTGGTCCCTTCTATATGCCTATTTTATTTATTTATTTTTTTCCTCACGGTTTCTAATTAATTTTTCTATTTTATCCTATTATTTTTTTCCTTATTCACTATTTATTCATTTAGTCTAAACTAACATTTTCTATTTTTTTCTTTTTTTATATATATTTTCTCTTATTTTACTATTTTCTAGTATCTTTCTTTTTTACTAACTCTTATTTATCTTTGTCATCAATTTTTTATCATTATTATACTAATATTTTTTCCTTCGTATTTATTTCACCATCTAACATTTTCAACATTTTCAGTGATAATTCCAATCGGTCGAAGGTAAGCAATTCGAACCGAATTTTTAAATTTCAATTTAAATTTTAATTTTCTCAAATAAAGACAACCGATAAATTAATTGGTACCGAAAGGGCGGTTCAAGGGTGCTAATCCTTCCTTGACCGTAACCGACTCCCGAACTCGATATATTTCTGGTACAACGCAGATCAGGTAAGATGGTGTCCGACCCACCTAAATATTTTTTAAAATGGTCGGTGGCGACTCCAATCCATATTTTTCAAGTCGAAGCCCAATTCCGGGGTCCACCGAAAGACGGTTCCGAAAAAGTGGATAGAAGCTGGATTAACAATAGGAAGTACTAGCGAGACCTTTTTCATATACAACAATCTAAAACTAAAGCTGGATTGTCTAACCACACTTTTCTATGCATTTTGCCATTTTATCTTAAGCTTACCAGATCTTGTATAGCCATCCACACTCAAGCCAAATGCTTTCTTCAACATGTTGATTAATTTTAACATTACTAGAGATAGCTAACAAAATGCTGTCTAAACAGGTAACACTCGACTTCTAGTAATCGTTGTCCGATGTTGGTACCATCAGTGCTTTATCTCTAACTATACTCTTGTTAAAACCAACGTATATCCTTCTTACATTATGAATCGTGTTTTATAAGCATCAATTGCCATAAATATTTGGTACTGCTCAGCATATCAGGTCCTTTAGCCAAATACTACAAAAGAGCATGATACCCAAAAGATGGATCACTGACAAGTCAAATTAACAATCTTCAGACAAAAGGAAGAAGAATATATATAGCAAGCTATTGCAAGACTCATAAAGGAATTGGCTAAAGGAACTTACTTTATCCTTAGGTAATTTGCAGGTATTTGAGGGAGGGATGCATCTCCTTCCCTGAAAGCGATGAAGCTTTAATCAGTTTATGACCAATAGAAGATAATCTTAAGAAAACTCCGTTTTCAATTCATTAGATTGAAGGCTAAAATAAATTCTTACTGGTCTTCAGAGGCCACTAATGAGAACCAAACAGGACCCCTTCTTCTTTCATGCTTTGGACCAGATGCGTCTAGCACAGCTTGTGGAGAAAATCCAGAATCTCCAAATCCAGAAGCCCTCTTCCGACATATCTTGCATAACTTTTTAGGAGTTACAGTTTCTGACATTCCAAGACCAGCAATATTCTTTTCATCCTCAACTTTTGACTTGCATTTGTCTTCCTTATTTTTGCTTTTGCACATTTGTGCTTCAACGTTAGATACATGCTTAGGTTCTAATTTAGAATCAGAACCTTGTGAACTAGACTGTAAGGACTTGGTCCTATCTGCAACCTCCACCAAACAGTTCAAAGGTTTCCAGAGATCCAATTTCCCATCCCACGCTTCATCATCATTTTCGGCATCTTTATTTGTGTGGTGGCTAGGTTCGGCAGAAGAAATACACTGTTTCTAAATTTTATAAAGACAACCGATATCAAAAGTCTAATCCAAAACATTAATTATTTGTGTTTGAGAAAAGGAGCATTATCAAACAATATTGGACACTGAGCATGAAAAAAGCCATCATCACATACTAAAATTATTTAGGCTTCAATGTACCTGTCTTTTATTTTGAGTGAATTTGTTTAGTGTTTCAGGTGAGCTTGCACTCTCCTGGTGATCCTCCATAGAGTCTTCCTCTCTTTTAAGAGGCCTCTCCATCGAAAAACTTGAACCTCGCAAAGCAATGGCCTTTCTGGCAACAGCTTTTGTCCTCCTTCCAATCATAGTAGTTTGTGATACCTTGGGGGAGTTAACCACCAAGGAAGAGAGCGATCTCTCTTTTCTCCTCATGGGCATTGTAACAGGGGCCGGAACATCAGGTGCCTTCGCTTTTCTTGTTTTAAGAGGAAAGATTTTGGACCTCACATCTTGCAAATTATGGTCTGGTCTGATTTTCAAAAGCATGAATGAATCTCAATACACAAATATTCCTCCCAATTTTTTATTTAACAGCATAAAGCATGTGTGGATACTCAACAAAGAAATATACAAAACGATTATTCAGGAAAACTGAAAAATGTGTTAAATTTTTTTCCAATTCAACATATTTTTCAACGGTTTTGCCACTAAACTCACACCATCTCATTAAAGCAATGAGTTATTACGTTTGCATAGCAAGGTTATATTGTGCTTAGATATTTCCCTTGAAATTGGCTAAGTCAAACATATCACTTAGATAAGGGAAAACAAATATGCATCAGGAGTTGAAAGATAGTTTAAGCAATATTGGTTTACTTGGTAAGAATGAACTCCCATGAGATTCATTGCAATTTCTACTCTTTTCACTTCAAAACATTCATTCAATGCCTTTAAATCCGAAATCTATGGCATCAAAGAAAAAGAAAGGCATTTAGGAGAAGCCACTGAAAACCTCAAAAAGATGGAATGACTTCTTAATTCATAAAGATAAATGATCCTAAGGAAGACAGAAGAAATCAGTAAAAGTTGCCAGTAACAACTTCAAAAAAGTACTCTATTAGATATCTTTCAGAGCATTGTCAAGATTAAAACTAGAATTATTACTTTTGTGTGATGAAGAAAAGCAATTAACATATAATGACCGTATCACAGAGAGAAGGTGGTAGAGAGTGGTATGTGAATGAAGGATACCTTAATTTCTGCAAAGGAACGCAACCCAAATCGATGTTGCATATCGGACAGCACTCTAGTTCTTCATCTTCTATCTTACCATAAATGCACTTTCTGCAAACTACAAAAATTGAAAAGACTCGTACCGTAAATTTCAACAGACTGACGAGGCACTGAAACAAAGATCACATAATGGAAACAAGCTGAGAAAGTGAAGCAATTGGAACTCTTGTGCAACTAGGAAAAGAGACCGGTTTTATTATATTTCAAAACTCGAAAATCATATTAAAGTTTGAATCTTGTCACGGATTTGAAAAGCAAATAAGGAAAGCTCTAATTTTGGAGGAGACTTTTGAATTTGAAGAAAAGAACATGATAATAAGAAGCCTGCAAAATAAAAACTGGCAGCAGCAGAGTTTAAACAAATGGATTCATAATCAAATCAACAGTTTTTCGAAACGTAGGCATTGTACATCAGAAAAGCAATATAACTGTTCCCCTCTGGTTCTTATAACTACGCCGTACGCATTACTTTTATATCAAACTAGTCAACTAAAATGCCTTAATATCAACTGGTAAGACGCATTTAGAAGCGAAATAAAGAAAACCCAGATAAGAAAACGGGAAAAAACAAGAGCATTCCAGATCAGAAGCGGAGCAAAACTGAAGAATTAAGAACTAATGACCTAAAAATGAAGGAAATTTGGAAGGGAAACAAGGGAAGGTAAGCGAAATCTCAAAAGGGGAGGAGAGACTCACACGTATGAAGGCATTCAGATATGGTGGTGGCATCTCTAAGAAGCTTATTGCAAAGAGGACAAGTCATGCATGCCACAATTGCTTCTCTCTTCACTTTCACGACCTGATTCGCCATCTACGTTTTCCGTTTGTCTGCTCCTCCTCACTTTCAATCTCGATAAAAAAAAAACCCTTCGCACTTATCGGATCACTGCATGTCAACGAGAAGTAAAAGGCAAAGGAAACTTTACGTGTACATCTTCATAAAAACCAGCATTAAAACCCAGGAAAGAAATACTTGTAAGAAAAAGGGATTAGAAACAGAGAGTTGTATAGGAAAATGAAACGGAAGGGAAGATATATAGATGCAAAAACGAAATGGGAATGTTTTCTTTTGATCTGGAAAAGAAGGAGATTGAGATTGTAGAGAAGGGAAAGAGAGAAGGTTGATTTTTGACGTGGAAGAAGAAGAATGAGAAGGAGGGATGGTGAGAAGATGAAGGCACGCGATGATCTGAATCTAACAACAAAACAAATAGAATAGAAAGAGAAAAGATTTAAGGGTGTCATCGACAGTAGGATGAACCTAGGATGAACCTGAGTTAATTTTTTTTTATGTATTTTTCTTTTTTAAATTTTATATTTTTACTGGTATAATAGTAATGATTTTTATATTTTTACCAATTTATTTATTATTTATCCAATTAAATTTAACATTTAAAATTTAAATAAGTAAAATTTAAATTCATGAATTGACTTCGGTAATAAAGATAATATTATTTTTTTTAGAAGTCTTAATTTAAGTATATTTAGAGTATATATATTATCAATGATTAAAATATTCTAAATATATATTACCTTATAATTATATTAGAGTATTTCAAAAATTATATTATTTTTGTTTTTTATATTTCTGTGTTTATTTATTTATTGATATTTTACATAAAATAAACAATATCATATTAGTATGAAGTAAAAAACATTGTGTTCAACTTATAATAAATGAACTTTTATATTTCTATATTATTTAAATTTTAATATTTGATCTATTGATCAATTAATTTATAATGAATATTATAAAAATCTATTATAGAGTGAATATTATAAAAATCTATTATAGAGTGATTTTTAACTTAATTTAATTTATTTATAATGTCAAAAAAAATTTAATTTTAATTTTATTAAAAAAGTAATATTTTATCTTACTGGAACAACAAATAATTAGTGATTATAATCTTAGTTTATTAACATATTATATTTTTAGATTTTCAATCGTGAATTTATAGAGTTGAATAAAAATTTTAAACCTTTAGAATGGTTCAACAAAGAAAGGCTCCATTCCAATGGGATTTGGAATTTTGGGTGAGCGGTGATTAGACCTTAATTTCGAACCTGGGACGGAACGGACGAGCCGACTAGGGGCCACTAAGGGATAGAGGTAATCCAATTTCAGGCTCATAATATAGAATTACGTCGTTTTGATGTGAATTCGGGTACTATTATAGGATGTTTGGTTCACGGAATGTAAGATTATATTTGAGACTAACATTACTAGAATATGTTGTTTGGTTCACGGAATGTAAGATTATATTTGAGAATAACATTACTGTAATGTAACATTACTACGAGAATGTTGTATTACCTTGTTTAGTTTGTTTAGTAGAAATATAAAATTACAGTGTTTGGTTAGAAAAATATAAGATTACTTGAATATTTTACCAAATTATCCTTTTGATATATTTTTTAAAAGTTAAACTTTGATAGTAAATTATAAATATTTGAATGAAAATTCATATAAATATTTTAATCATTATACTATCTAACTTTGGAGAAAAATACATTTAATATATAATTATTATATTAAACTTATATTTTTTAAATAATTTTCATAAGTATCTTATTTATATATATAAAATATAATATAATATAAAAAATAATATTATGATCTCGAGTGAAAAAAGATTTTTTTAATATATAAGATCTATTTTTAATAACTTAAAGTTAGATATCATTTTAAATAATTATATTTTTACAATAATATTATTTTTCATCTCATAAAATTATAAATAAGTAATATATTAAATATTAAAAATATTAAATAATTTTAAATACTCAAATTCATTAATATTTTAATAAATTAAACTCTTTGTGTATTATTATTATATTTATAATTTTGAGTAAAGAGTAAAAGTTAAGAATTGAGAAGTGTCATTATAAAAAGAACTCATTAGTTCAGGAGTATTCTTGTCCACAATGATAAAAATTATCTAATATCTAAAAATTTAGAGATAATGATATTTTCATCATTTTAACAAAAAAATGTTATTATTAAAAAAAGATTATTCCCTAGATTAATGATAATAATCTTTTTCGTAAATAAAAAACGTGGGAATGTTACTCCTCCGCAAACTAAACCGCCCAAGTATTAAGCTTATTGTTGTTATTATTATTATTATTTATATTTATCCGTTGAATAGTGGTTATGATATTCTATTTATTATGAATTAATGAAAACAAGGAAATAAAGGGGTGGTGGGCAGCCGTGCTATTCCTGGTCAACTCAGCACATAATGGGTATGAAGGCTTCTGGAAAATGACGAAACTACCAGATGGGGCAGACAGTGTTTATTCCCCACACACCACAAACAGCAGATGGGTGAGACAGAACATAAACTTTGTCGGTGTTGCATTAATCCCAGGAAAATATGTTGTTTCAATTTTGTAACATATTGCTGGTTCAATAAAAGAACAAGTTGGAACTTGTTTAATAAGCTCGACACCCTAATTGTGTATAGAGAGAGAGCAAATGATGGGTGGCTTGCTTCCAATAACTAACTAATGTTCGGCACACACAGACATCAGGCCTCGCTATGAAACAGTGTTTAAGTGGGTTACCACATGATGAGCATGCAACAACACGCAACTAACACATTTACCATGTCTTATATGTACATTTGTCACCTAATTTGCCACCTAACGTATAAATATATATGCCAACATAATCATATACTTTTCTTCAGCTGAATACAAGTGACTAATACTAGAGGAGGAAGGAACCCCATGGACCATATGGTCCACAACCACTAATTAAGCAGGACAATGCAAACATACCTTGTTGTGGTTCACCCGGTCATATACAAGGACTACGAGGGCCATGCTTCTTTTCATAGTTAGAACCCCGGTTCCCATCGAAGTTATGTATAAACTAAAAATATATATATATTCGAAATAAAATATTAAGTATTTGATAAAATAATGTTATTGTTTGTAGTTTAAATAAAAATATTATAATTGTTCAGAATTTGAGAACGAAAAAATAACCAAAGAAACAAATACTTGATATCACACGTATCCAAAAACTCGATATAGATACCAAAATCTTGCATATCTCAAAATACTCTTCTAACATCCTCCAAAACTATCTCTATAACATAAACTCAAAAAATTATAGAGATCACAATAAAGATTACGTCTCTCTAAAATAATTCTCACTCACATAACCCTAAAGACTAAAACATAATCTCTAGTTATAGAGTGAAATACTCGGTCACCAAGAATTCTTATTTTATAAAAATTATTGTCTAGAATAAATATTTATTTTATTAAATAAACCTAATTACCCAGTAATCTTTAACAACTAGAATTATAATAGAATTCAACTTAATTATCGATTATAATTTGGGTCAAAATATAACAAATCTTCCGATTGACTCAATTTTCACCAAAAAATGGTCTTCAAGTCTTCAACAACTTTAATTCTTACGTAATATCTGTTGGTAATGCTCAATCCCACATATAGTTGGAAATACTAGTGGGAATGGTATTTAAGGTTTACATTCTACATTCCATTGTTGAGTGATAGAGAACAAGGCATGGTAATACGCGTCTTTCACACGTCCACACGAATAATATCTTTTTAGAGAAAATTCGTAAGGAATTTTTCTCTGAAAGATTAAATGAAAAATGTGAAAGATTCATCTGATATTTATAGGCTACTGAGACTGTTAAAGTTCGAATATTTCAGATGATAACAATTGATTATTAGTTGTCTGAAATTAAATAAATTAAACAATTATTTTTCTAAATTAAATCATAATTTAAGATGTATCTGGACTTATTTCAGCTTTGTTCATGGGAGAGACAAGCTGTTAATATCAGGAGTTACAGGAGTTATATGATTTAATTTCAGGAGTTATAACTGTTTAATTTTTATGCAATGAACATGGACTCTTTTTTGAGCCAGATTCATCAAGAGGAGTTACAAAAAAGGTTTAAATTCAGAATTAAAATCAAATTTAATTTGATTTTCTTATTGGACGGATTGACCCTTACTTCTAGCCTATAAATAGAGAGCTAAATTCAGCTTCTCAACACACTCTCTACAATTAGAATTCACTCTCCAAGTGTTTTCTAAAGTTGTTCTCTCCATGCTTTCCGATCAGAAGTGCAATACCACCAGCAGTCCACTCCGGTTTCGGGTGTACAGAATTCGGAGCGAACGTGTTAACCTCGGGGGACGGTCCGCCTACTGCAGCGATTACACACATCGGGGCGAATTCGTTTCTAAGGCAGTGGTTAATACCATGACACGGTTAATCGGTTCTTTAATTATATATTTCAATATATATTTTTCCAGTCAATGTTAATGCCTCGTTTTGCAGCAGTCTATTTTACCAACAATTTAGAAACGAATTCAAACTGCTGCATGATATTTGTAAAAGGAATGATGAAACTACATGTTGGATTCGAGTTTGTAAGTGTGAACTCAAATGTCGGTTTAACCTTGCATCAAAGTGGTACGTAATATTTTGATATAGATTATTATTATTGTGGTTCGATGCAGCCTGATGCAAGTGACAATGCCATGAATTTTAGTGGTTTCTATGTTTTAATGCTTGAATTATTAATATTTATGTTCTTTCAATGTTTTAAATATTAGTTATTATTTGGTGTAACAGTATGCTTAATGATTTTAAGATGGATATATGTTAGGTACATTTGAAAGCAATTATAAATATTTTAACTACAATCAACGTCCTATAATAAATGCTTTATGAAGTTTAAAGGATAACAATTTTATTATTGATTTGTAGTTTTAATGTTGTGTTATAAGCATTTGTGCATGATAATATGTTATCATGATTAATCTGGAACGTTGGTATTTAATGTACATCGGTTGAGTATGCATTAGTAGTATTTTTTAATTGATGATTCATTTGAATTTTAAATGGATTAATATTTGAATAAAAAATTAAAAATATTCATGTGAGTTGTGAATAGATATTTATTAGAAATTATAGCACTTTAAATGCTATTGTGAAGAATGGATGTACATAAGTTATAAAATTTATAATGGTAACTTATGTAAATAAATGTTTTTGACGTTTGCATTGTTTGCATTTATAAATGCATAATAATATATTAATCATGTGGTTTGAGAGATTAATATTATATTAATACATCATCAATATGATAATCTTTGAATAATATTTACATGTTCTA